ATGCATGCAAATGTGCATTCACACGCATGTGTGTATATAGACATACACATACACATATGCACATACAGAAGTCTGTGCATACACAATGCATGTGTGTAGGTGCACGCCTGTGATTGTGTGTTCTGTGCACTTGTTACGTATGTGTGCATGTATAGGTATATGGTGGGATCGAAGTTGAACGGACAGCCCCCCACCAGAAAATCGGTTTCGGTTTCGGTTTCGGGTTCGTGTCGTGCGTGCGGGCGAGGCGGAGCTGCGTGGGCCGGCGAAAATGACTCCGCTGTGGTCAGGGCGTGCCAATAGCCGTTGGCCGCCCCTCCCCCCTCCCCGGTGAGAGGGCGGTGTCCGGGTTGTCCCGCCGTGGTGTCCCGTCGCTGTCCGCCTCTCCCCCGCGGAGGGCGGGCGGTGGCTGGGTTGTCCCGCCGAGGTGTCCCGTTGTTGTCCCGTCGGTGTCCCGTCGGTGTCCCGATGGTGTTTCTTGGCTGTCCCGTCGGTGTACCGTCGGTGTCCTGTCGCTGTCCCCGTCGGTGTCCCGTCGATGCCCCGTCGGTGCCCCGTTGGTGTCCCGTCGGTGTCCCGTCGATGTCCCGTGGGGAGATCGATAGTGAGATCGATAGTGAGGCCGATTGAGTGGGATCGATAGTGGGACCACATCGCGACGCAGCATCGTCACCACGCGTCGTCGCCAACTCGAGGGCGCATCACTGGTATCATCATCACCGCCATCGCAGTTGTCGTCAGTTCTTTTTTCCCCACCAACCTCCTCATCACCCGAAGGATGGTCGTATAGGTATGTGCATGCATTTGCACATGAATGTTTATATGTATACGCACATGTACATGCAAAGACGTACGTCTTTGTATGTGTACTTCGGGAGTGTGTGGTAGTGTAGGTGTTTGCGCATGAGAGGTGCCTCTGAATACGAAATTTTACATGCACATTCATATATGCAAACTTCAAAGTACAAGTGCGAGTACAACCGGCCCAACATGTAGGTCTGGACGTGCAGGTGTAATAGTATGCGTATGTGTATGTGTACGCGTATGTGTATGTGAATGTGCATGTGTATATGTATGTGTAGATGTATGGGTATGTGCATATGCATGCGTATATGCTGGTGCACGTGTATGTGTACGTATATATATATATATATATATATGAATGTATGTGTACATCTATGCCCACATGTTGTATCTGTGTATGTATGCATGTGTGCGCGTGGGTCTGTTGGGTGGCTGACATTTATGTGTATACATAGATGTGTGCATTTACGCATGTATGTATGCATGCGTGCATGCATGTATGAATGTATGTATGCTTGTATGTCTGCGCGTACGTACGATTGCGTATGTATGCATGCATGTATGTATGCATGTGTGCACGTATGCATGAAAGGGTGTGTGTATGTATGTGTGCATGTATGCATGCATGTATATATGGACGGACTTGTGTATGTATGTGTATATGTACGTGAGTGTGTCTGTATGTATGTTTGTGTATGTATGTGTGTATGCATGTATATGTATGTTTGTAGGTGGGCAGGTATGTATGTGGATGTATATGCATGCATGTATGTATGTATGCATGCATGCATGTGTACACATAGCTATGTGTGTATATATGTATGTAAATATAGATATATGTGTATGGCTTCATGCATGTATGCATGTGCCTGTGTATGTATGCATGTATGTATGTATGTATGTATGTATGCATGTATGTATGTATGTATGTATGTATGTATGTATGTGTGTATGTATATATGTATGTGTGTATGTGTGTGTATGTATGTATGTATGTATGTATGTATGCATGCATGCATGCATGCATGTATGTATGTATGTGTGTGTGTGTACGTTTGTATGTCTATATGTATGTGTGTGCATGCGTGTATGTATGTGGGTGTTCGTATAGATACGTGTCGGTATATTATCACACACATAATGTGTACATATATATATACACACATATATATACATATCTGTATGTCTATGCGTACATGTGTATCGGTGTACCGGTATGCCCTTTGTGTGTTGTACGTATACCATATGCTGTAGCAGCGGGGGCCCGGGCTGGGGCACCCTCCTGGAGTTAGATCCCCCCCGCTCACCTCCGGCACTGGAAATCTGCGTCCCACGGGGCCTCCTGGGCTTATCGGGGGCGGCAAAGAGGGGGGTGATGATTAGGGGGGGTGGATATTATGGCGGGGGCCATGATATTTCCTCAGATTTCACGGCGCCTCTTCTTATACCATTACGTCCCGGGCCCCCCCGCTGGGCCGCGCACATGCCGCCGGTCATGATTCGCACCCCCCCCTCTTGGACACCCCCCTCTTGGCCGCTCCCGAGCTTACCGCCGTCGCTCACAATCGTTCTGGAGGGCACGAATAAGCGACGTCCGTGTCCAAGGGCAGCTCGAACATTCCCAAGACGGCTCATGATGGCCGAAGCGGACCCCCACGTGGGCGCAGTGGCCCGGCGAGGACCCTTTAGAGGCTCCCAGGAGACAGCAATTGATTTCCCATTCGTTTTTCTAGGATTTTCGGCGTGTGCCTTTCCGCTCCTGAGGGCCACGACGGGCCAAGAGGCCCCCAACGCATGGAAAGCTTGTCCAAAATGTCTCGAAACGGGCCCAAGGAAGGGCCCTCGCTGGCCCAAGAGGAGCCCAATATGCCGCATAAGAGCCCCACGTGACGCCCCAAGAGGGCCCCCCAGAGGGGCTCAAGAGGGTCCGACAGGGCCCCGAGACGGCCCAGTATGTGTCCAAGACAGAGCGGGCCCGTGTGGCCCAGAAGAGGTCCGAAGACGGTTCCCGAATCTTCCAGGACGGCCTTTCCAACACGCATCAAGCAGGCTCAAGACCGTCCACAAGTGACCAGAGAGATCCAGGAATCTCCTGAATGGTGTCCCCGAGAAGGGGTGCGTTGCACGCGCGGTGCGCGTGGTGTGAGTGGCGCTTGCACATGGTGCCCATGGAATGCTTGGCGTGTCTGACATAGCTAGCACAAAAAGGCTTGCACCGTATTTCTTGCACCACATAGCATGCGCCACATAGCTTGCAGCGCATAGCCTACACCGCATAGCTTGCACCAAACAGCTCACACCAGGTAGATGGCACCACATAACTTTCACGACATAGTTTTCGCCATATAGCTGAAGCCACATAGCTTACCCCACATGGTTTGCACCACGCAGTTGCACCACATAATTGTACCATACAGCTTGCACTGCACAGCTTGCATCATCTAGCTTGCGCTGCAGATCTTGCACCACGTAATTTGCACCACACAGCTTGCACATCCAGAGTGCAAGCAGTCACTGTCTGGGGTCCGCGCTGGCAAACTTCACTGCACAGTTGTGCGAACTGCAAGGTGTATGGCCGGAAGCGTGGGTTCTTGCAGCAGAGACTTGAAGCGCGCAACGAAACAGTCTTGCAGCGATTGTCAATGGGACATCTTGGCAGCTCTAATTCAGGGTTTATCCTGGGCGTCCCTTGCAGAAATCCACTACAGTGACGTTTACCATCCCCGCGATAGAACCTAAGCGCGCGCGAAGCGCGCGGTTCTAGAATGTTTTTGTCCGTATTCATATATATGTATAGATAATTTATTATATCTATGTGCATGTATGTATGCATGCATGTATGCATGTATGTATGTATGTATGTGTATGTATGTACGTATGTATGTACG